TGGGAGGAGTTAATGAATTAAGCAGGTAAGCTTTTCGGGAAAGTTCCGGAGGGTTGGTAAGACGGTGGAAGACTTTGGTTATTTTCAAGGAGGGGGGGGGCGTGCTGCTGCTAAAAAAGGAAATCGGGGGATGGTCGTATTGACACCGCCATTTCACCCATACCGACGCTAGGTGCAGTTCGGCGACAGGAGGGTAGGCTGCCTTTTGTAGTATCATTGCTTCCTTGTTTCCGATTTCTAAACCTCACTCTGGCGATACCGCGAATAGCCTGTTCTGGGTCGACACGTCGATGGGTAACTCAGTACAAAGGTACAAAATGCCCCCCCCCGTTGCCGAACTGCGCCCAGATGCTATACTCTACCTTTTCCCAGGAATTTCCCCATTTGAAAATTTCATTCACTTCATCACATTACTTCAATGTTCTTTACTGTATACGCCAATAACTACGTACTTGGGAACGCTCTTTTTGCTCTCAGATAGAGGCTGTAGATTACGCAATGCTCCACAGATAGGGAGCGACATATCTGTACTGTCACGGAAGGTACCGTATGCATGAACTCTATGAAAGAACATAATTCCATATTGTGTGTACGGTTCAAATCTTAATCATATTCTGCTTTTATGCTTAATGGTGCTCTGTTTGAACCCCTCATGGTGTACTGTGGGAAAATGTTTATTTGCATTCTGCTTCTATCAAAAGAATACCTTGAAGTGATGGGAACACGAATTTCCTCTTACGTAATAAACGCTCCGAAACTTGCATCGTGGTTTTGTGCTCGGTTCAAATAAATGGTCTTCTACCCGGCTGTGTTAAGTCTTCCAATCAAAGCAGTACCTGTAAACTAAACGGGGTTGTGAGGAGGAAGGGGTGCAACGCAGCCCGAGTGGCCTTTTCGGTTAACTGACACCGTCTTGAGTTCACATCATTGGTAGAAGGGCTGGCCATCCGCGCCCTTATCCACATCCAACACACCCCATCGTGTGCAGGGATGACAACTGTATCCTGCCCTGAAGTGCGATCTAAACCGTTGCGTTTATAATGCTTGGTAGGTTCATGGACTATTGAAGGATTCCTAAGCACCTGCACTCAGGATGCAATATCGTGATATGCGAAACGGTGTTGTTAGTAAGACCCCCCCTACCTAATAGAGGGTCTCTTATGACCCCCTCCCTCCTCAACATCTATCTACCACTTTTCCACATTTTCCGTTTTTCACCCAAAAACTCTTCGTGGAGCGGGAGGAGGTGGGGGAATATAATGTAAATATGAAACAGGAAAATCGAAAAGTCAACAACCGCCAAAATTTTTTTCCCAACACGGCAAATTCCTCTCTGAGCCACTTACGATCCCCCCCCCCTTCCTCAGCGAAAAAGTACGACCCACCTATG